GGCATTTGAAAAGGCTGAGGGTCGATTCAACTTCGCCAGCATTGTAATGAGGGGGTGGATTATGCTTGCTAGGAAGGTTCGGCTTGTAGTAGGATGTCGTGAAGTTTGCAACCTCCTCCCGAATGCTTGCCTCTGCAATGGAAGCCTCAATTCTGGCTTTATTTGTACATTTCTTGCGAAGAGTCTTTAGACATCGCTCGATTGGATAGCACCAATGGGCCTGCACGGGCCCCCCAACCGTGCCTTAGTTGGGAGGTGCACAATCAGATGCTACATCGGCAAGAAGAAGACGGGTGGAAAGATCTTCTCAAGCTCACAGACCAACTCAGGTGCCATAGTTTCCAATTCTGTAATGACGGTCGAAGATAGCTCCTTGGCACAAAGCTGGCGAAAGAAGTAGCTCAACTTTGCCAGCACTAGCCAGACATGCTCAGGGACATAGCCTTGAACCATCGACGGAAGTATCCACTCAATCCATATGTGGTAGTCATGACTCTTCATCCCGTTGACTCGTAGAGTCTCTAAGTTCACTCCCTTGCTCAGATTCGCTGCATACCCATCAGGGTACATTAACTTCGTGATCCATCAAAGTACTTCCCTCCTTTGATCAATTTTCAAGACGTAGGGGGCCCTAGGCCTTCTCCACTGCTTTCCTGTTGTAGGAGGCCGCATCTCTAGGTTTGGCCTATCGCATAATGTCGCCAGGTCCACTCTAGCCTTAGGGTTGTCCTTAGACTTGTCAGTGTCCATGAGGGTTGCCCAAAGTGCCTCGGCGATATTCTTTTTAGTGTGCATGACATCAATGTTATGGGGCAGTAGGAGGTCATCGAAATAGGGGAGCCTCGTCAAGCTGGACTTATGAGTCCACATATGTTGCTCACCATATCCCATGAAACCACCATCTTCGTTGGGCACGAGAGCATCTATCTGAGCATGAACCTCCGCCCCAGTCCTCAAGCACGGTCTAGGGTCCGTCACTTTGACACCTTTCGTAAAGCTCTTGACATCTTCTCTGAATGGATGGTCAAGAGGGAGGAATTGACGATGTTTGTCGAACGATGAATACTTGCCACCCTTCTTCAACCATATGAACCTCACAACTTCCTTGCATATTGGGCATGGGAACTTCCCTTGAACACACTAGGCGCACATTAACCTGTACGCCAGGAAGTCATGCAGGGAGTAGTGGTACCAGACGTGCATTTTGAAGCTAGTCTTCGTAGCTCGGTCGTATGTCCACACCCCTTTGACCCAAGCATAGATCAACTCATCTATCACAGGCTCCATGAAGACACCCATATTACTCCCCGGGTGTCCAGGGATTATCAACGACAGGAACACGGTATGCCGTTGAAAGGAGACGCCGGGGGGGGAGATTCAGGGGGATGACGAACACGGGCCAACATGTGTATGGTGCAGCCATCATGCCATATGGATTGAACCCATCTGTTGCCAGCGCGACACGTATGCCAGCGCGACACGTACATTATGAGCCTCCTCTGCTTTGAGAGGATGCCGCGAATTGAAGTACTTCCATGCATCAGCATCGGATGGATGTACCATCTTCTCAGGATTGTACCGTGTGCCGTTTTTGTGCCATGTCATTTGTTTCATGAATTCCTCGGTCATGAATAGCCGTTGGAGCCTCGGTAGGAACGGAAGGTGTCATAGGACTCTCATGGGGATCTTAAGCTACCTCTTCTAGCCATCGCTTGAGTCTACCTCCACGTACCTGGAGGATTTACACTTCGGGCAGTACTTTGCATCCACATGTTCTTTCCTAAATAGGACGCACCCCTTCGGACACACATGTATCTTGTCATACGGCATCTTAAGTGCAAGAAGGAGCTTCTCTGACTCGTACAAGTTCTTCGGCATAATGTGTGTCTTCGGTAGCATATCGCTCCACACGGCCACCATCTTGTCGAAGCCTTCTCGACTTAGGTTTAAATCGGCCTTCAACCCCATTACGTGACCAATGGCATCCAACTGAGAAACATTAGTATGATCGTGAAGGGGTCTCTATGCCGAGTCCAACATTAGGTAGAAGGCATCTGCGGCAGCCTCCATCTCCTCCTTGTCACGTCCTTCAGCGAACTGAGCTTGGTGCGTGTCATCCAGCATGTCTGCTACCCCGGCATCATCATCGAAAGCCTCGAGCCATGGTCTCACCACCTCCTCCCTGATACGATCGACTTCACCATGGTGGATCCACCGGTGGTAGCCCAGAGTAAATCCAAACTTCACAATATGTTTACCCATGGTTAACCTATCTTTCCTTCTTCTATTGTCACAACCGTTGCACGGACAAACCACTAGAGAATGGCCTCCAGCACTCTCGCCAAATGCATGATGTAAGAATTCTTCAACCTTGACTATAAACAGCAAGTCGTAATCGTGCTCGTCTCTCCGGAGCGTGTACATCCACTCACGGTCCTCCATCCTTTAACAGACGTATCAACACATATGAGTCACCATCAATTGCATCTACGCGGTGTCCCTACTCTCTAATAGGTGAGGATAGGTCCTAATCCCACCCGCGGATCCATAGATGAGGTTAGTTTCCATGCTCCGCTCCTATCTGAGATGGAATTTCGGCAGCACCTCCCCGCTGTTCTCTCGATACACGTCCTGCAAGGGAGAGTGTGTATCCGGAGAACAACAGGGGGGTGATGCCGAAACACCATCTCGGACGGGAGCGGACCATGGAAACTAACCCATCTACGCATCCGCGGGCTATCCAAAAAACATGGACAATCCAAAACAGAAACGTTCGCAGATATGCAAAGACCTGCATAACTCCGACTGTATCTCTTTCGGACGGGAGACGCCTAACTAGGATCAACGACCTAAGACCATGATACGGATAGAGGGGTTATACCTAGGGTGCCGGTGAGGTCAGGCTAGCGGGGCTATGGCGAGTCGATGCAGTGGCGCCGTGACGCGGTGCAGGCAGACCCGCAACGCTGACGAAGACAATCGGGGTCACCGAGGTCCCTCCGCCGGGGCCTCCTCCTGCATAAAAAGGCAATACATTAGTGACAATTGAAAATTTCAACAGAACCTCCCCTGCACGGGGAGGTTTCAAAAACCTGCAAAAAAGATCGGCACGAAGGCCAACATCCACAAACAACGGCTCGATGGCCGAAAACCACATACAACAACTATTACTACTAACAAGGGCTCGATGGCCGACATCCATTGCACGATTTGAATAAAAAGGGAAGGGCGAACCTAGTGTGCTCGTCGGCGGTGGGCGGAGTCGGGAGCGGGCGCCGAGGGCACGCAGCACCGCCCGCTAACGAGGCGTGGGCGGGGCGGGGCTCCTCCTCCCTTCTTCCTCCTCCTCCTCTCCTCCCTCCCTTCTCCTTCTTCCTCCTCCTTCTCATCTCCTCCTTCCTTCTTCCTTCTTCCTTCTTCCTCCTCCCTTCTTCCTCCTCTTCTCTCCTCCCTTCTCCCTTCCTTCTCCTCCTCCCTCCTCCTCCTCCCTCCTCCCCTGCTCCTCTGGTGCGCGCCTAGGGAAGGGATGGCCGGGACACTTGCCACCCCCCTACCGGAAATGGCCGGTCGGCACCACCACCACCTCCGGCGGCCGAGGCGAGGGGGTCCGGCCATGGGAGCTACTGGCGGGGCGAAGCGGCCAGGCAGGGGGGGGCGGGCGCAACTAGCGACGGGGTGGGGTGGGGGCGCGGTCATGGGCGAGGTGGGCAGGAGGCGGCGGGCAGGCGGCGGGCTCACGGGCAGCAAGGGGGTGGGCGCGGCGGCGGCTGGGGTGGGCACGGGGGAGCAGGCGTGGCTAGGGGCGTGAGGGTTGGGCCGCGCGGGGTTGGGGTGGGCTTTTAGGGCAATTTTTTTTTGAAAATCAACTTTGCCGAGTGCCCCCAGGGCTGGCACTCGGCAAATTTTTTTTTTTTTTAAAACTTATTTTGCCGAGTGCCAGCCCCAGGCACTCGGCAATTTTTTTTAAATATATTTTGCCGAGTGTAAGCCTTGGGCACTCGGCGATTTTTTTTAAATTTTTAAAACTTATTTTGCCGAGTGCTAGCGCCCAGGCACTCGGCAATTTTTTTTTATTTTTGAAAATCAACTTTGCCGAGTGCCCCCTGGGCCAGCACTCGGCAATTTTTTTTTTTGATTTTGGGCCCAAATTTTTTTCTGGGGCCTTGTGACAGTATTTCAAACTCTATTTTAAAATTTGGGGCAATTTTGACTTTTTTTGATATATTTCATTAGTTTATTTCGTTTCGTCGAATTTTTTGGGATATTTCAAATTTGAACCGCAGGTACATGGAATAATGGACTTTGGTCATCCAAAAATTGATACTCATGATATTTAGGGTATGTTTAGGCCGTATCCAGGAACTCACATGAAATCTCGAGCATCTCGTTGACGTAACATGTCGAGGTACTTGCCGAAAATGTGATTTTAAATTATATAAAATGCAAACGAAGTCCGAAAATCACGAAACTTGTCGAGGCGTCGTGTTATCGCATGTGGAGGCTGTGGTAAAAAATTGAGAAGGTTTCGAGTAAGTTGTGACGTCGGATGCCAAAAACCCAGACATCTCCACATGTGTCAGACATGCAACAAGATATTCACTGCATACCGTATAGAAGATCAGGAACCCATGCCAGCAAAACAAACTGATCATTATTTGGTTGTTGGGATGGGGTTGTGGGTGCCTCAGTTCCTTCTTATATCCGCTTATTTCAGACATCCAGATTACAGGGAAACAATGTCGAACATTTGAATAAATTCTTGTCTTAGTGATTGTTAGGACTTAGGAAATGTTTGGTGGCCTCTAGTTAAATAAACAACTGGGCTGTTACATGAGTAGCGCCACAGATCTCACGCCCACGGTGTGCCCTTGTTGGAGGTAAATCAGTTCTTAGTAGTTCCATATTTGTTTATTCCGATATCTTGAGTAACATTACATTCTGCATAAATTGCATAGCATAATGAAACATGGTATGCTGCTCTTTAAACCAAGAGCACTTGCTTAATAGGATGCATGCCCATCGGTCATGATGGCACCATGTGTTGCTGTTTTAGTTGGGTAAGACGGCTCCATTGCAATGCCACAGAGCCCTTGCGAGTCCGAGATGCCTCGTTGCATTCTGATATAGCCCCTCTCACCCCAGTCCTCGCCCCAGGAGTTCTTCACTATCCAATATTTAGTGCCATCTCGAGTTGTACCGTACCCAACAGCGGCGACTCCATGGTCTAGGTCCGTCCCACAGCTTCCAGTGAAGACACCCTGAGAGGAGGCACCAAGAGCAGCCATGAGTGCGTGCACAGTTTTGATTGAACCGATATGTTACTGTTTCTAAAAGCAAATTAGATAGTAAAAAATGTTCCAAGTACATGATCTAGTAAGTAAAATGTTTTCAGACCTCTGAGTAGAACTGGAAATCTTGGCCGCTAGCCTCAATTGCAATGGCCACTGGCTGGTTTGCGACCGCTTTCTGTAAAGCATCTTCATTGTTAGCAGGGACATCCTCATATCCATCTATTGTCACGTCATGGGATCGTTCCTCCAATAATGCGATCGACGCACAAAATGCTTTGTTAGTTTGGGTTAATAATGTTTACATTTCCATTTCAAGAATCATAAAAAGAAACGTTTTAACCGCATACTTTTGCCTTGTTACAGCTCCTCTGATCGGCAAGATACGGATAGTTGGACTCGGTAGTGATCCCTCCGTTCCTCTTGATGTACTGGAACGCGTAGTCCATGAGGCCACCGTTGCAGCCTTGGTTGTCGACGTCGTCGCAGTCCACGAGCTCCTGCTCCGACAGCGACACCAGCTTCCCGGTCCTGATCTTGTTTATGCCCTCCACAGCCGCGATGGTCGAGAACGCCCAGCAGCTCCCTTCAACAACAAGTACATACACACTGTGTTAGTTGTGAAGAAGGAGCTGATAGAAACATATCCACTGTGTTAGTTGTGATTTCATACCGCACTGGCCTTGGTCCTTGATACCGGTGACCGCGCCCCGCTGACGCCAGTCCACGGCCGGCGGCAGGTTCCCAGCTTCGCCATACATGAAGCTCCCCTCGCCGTGGCCTCTCCCGCCGCTCAGGGCGCGGTGGTGCCGCGTCCTGGAGCCGGCGTACGTCCACCGGAACTCGTCCATGGTCATGTCCGCGAACTTGTTCAGCGCCAGCCTGAATGGCCGGTCCTTCTTGTTCGCCTCGTGGATGTACCGCACGTTCTCCTTGAACACGTTGAACCGCCGCGCTTTGTCGTCCTGTTCCTGCAAGCCTGGGCGCGACACCATGTAGTGGCTGCGCCACTGCTCGTACAGCGCTCGCAGGCTCTCCTCCGACGCCAGGTCCTGCTCTGTGAACGGGATGCCGGCCCGTGCTGGCGGAGCCAGCGTGAGCAGCGCCAACACTGCAGCAAGCACGAAGCACCTCAACATGGTGCTGAGTAGTTTGTTCAGACCAGCTGCGAGGTGGATCGTGCGCATGCAATCTGAAACAACGAGCATGTGCTATATATAGACAGCTAGGACACCAATATAGTGAGGCTCCTGAGGTAGGACATGCATTATCATGCGGCCATTATTTGAGGAGTGTGGGTGAAGCTGACGGGTATTGGAGATGATGGGCGGTAGGAGATGGCGGGAAGGAAGAGAAGAGATGATGGGCGGTAAGAGATGGCGGGAAGGAAGAGAAGAACTTTCTGAGGTTGGGCCGGGATAAGCTCAGGAATAAATGCAAAGAAAAGGGTTGCCTTTTGGTAACTGGATAAGGCGTGTTTGTGATAGGAAGCAAGATGCATTAGCGCTGGCAAAAGCTACCAAAATGGTTGCCCTGTTTGTTATACAGATTTTCTGGGAAGTGTTTCCTTAAGAAGCTACAAAGATAGAGGAAATTTATGGTCAAGATAAGCTGGTGTGAACTAGTTTTTGTGTTTTAGTAAAAATGATGGTTGTGTCAAGAAGCGCGGCAAGAAAAAGTTAGAGAAAAGTACATCGTTTAGCTTTTAATTTCTACCTATACTTTGGACCGCAAACAGTTTTTAAGCTGAACCAAATATACTAAGTGGCAGTTTCTACATTACTTTGAAACATTTAGTTAGATCTGGATCGATATAACTGAAAAATATGATAGGTAATAAATGTATAGAAAGATTATATTTATTACCAATTTTCCCATGCATTACAATCCATATCTCTAATTAATATTATGAATAGTAAGATATGACCAAGGCGTTGTAATGGTTCTCAAAATTCTACATCAAACTATTTAATTTGTCATTTTTTTCCATATATGGTTCACATAAATTATGTGATGACAGCTGCTGCTAATGTTGAAAGAAAATGGTTGGATCATGGACGGTGAGGGAAATTTCATTTGTTCATGTTGGCTTCTCCATGCCCTTGATATTTCGGTAGCCTAGAATCCCCTTAAGTTTGGTCAATAGATTTACGTTGCCTTCTTGGACAATATATATAGTTTCCTTCAGTTCGAGATGTATCACCAGTTCACCACCCACATCCTCAATGGTCTATAATTAATTTTTTTCTTTTTTATAAAAATAACTGTGATGTCATGTCGCGCACAAGGACACGCGCTAATCACTAGTCACTGGTAGAGAACCGAGCTTTACTCCCGGTAGGAAACCCCCTCTAGTCCCGGTTCCCCACCCGGGAGCAAGCATCCGGGACTAAAGGGGGTCCTTTAGTCCCGGGTCAGAAACCGGGACTAAAGGAGGACCTTTAGTCCCGGTGGGTAACACCAACCGGGACTAAAGGTGCCTCCTGACATGCCACGATGGCCGGCACCTTTAGTCCCGGTTGGTAATACGAACCGGGACTAAAGGTTTTTTTCTTTTCTTTTCATTTTTTTGTTTTCAAAGTCGTATTGTACGCTGCTAATTATACATTTATACGCGCATATAGTATGTTTCGGTTCAAGCACAATTAACATATTAAATCACACAATTCAAGCATAGAAAATATATATATATATATATATATATATATATATATGCATGCATGCATCATATATATATTTACATGCATGCATGCATATGTGTATTTTACATTATATTATTTCATGTGCATATATTACAAAAAGATTGCATTACAGTTGTTGTGATATAACAAGTTTTCTCTCATCCTTTAGCTTGGCTTCCATGGCAGTGTTGGGTCGAAGTAGAACTCGCCTTTGGAATCGATGACCTGCTCATTAAAAAATCCGGCTATAGACTCTTGAATTGCTTTGATTTGGTCTTGCCGTATGACCTTTTCCTCCAACCATCGAGTCTACAGGTTTGAATTAAAGGAAAATAAATTAATATATGTACATATATTTATATAAAGACATAGTAACACAATCAATAATAATAATTAAATAAATATATAGTGTATTTTTAACGTGCTTTGAGTCTCTCTCTGTAGGAGTTCTTTGGGAGATCACCTTGATAAACTTGCAAACATAGTAACCACGTAGTTGTTCCCCTGTTCTCGCCTCGATACACCACTTTTTGAGAGAAAAAGATTTGTCATCCAATCTGGTGATCCAATGAAAGCTATATGTTTAATTAATAAAGATGATGCGATTCGTGGGACTTACTTTCAAAGGATTACATTCAAGTGGCGCTTTGCATTTTTCCATGTGTTGCTTCTCAATAAAGGTTTTCCAAACACTGCCCAATAAAAAATTTGCCACGTCATCAGATATAGTTAATCATCATGTTTGTGTGTATATATAGTTGCTAGAGATCCCGAAATTACCTCTGGATAATATCTATCATATCTTGGTAGTCTTGTTGTGGTTTTCTCATCGAGTCATAGATTATCAAGTGACTTTTCACCAGATCGATGTCCATCAATATCCAGTGATTGCTGCATGTGTTTATAGGATATAACGCATAACACTCATTAATTAACTAGAATCAACATATGAGCCATTAAGGATGATCGATATTATTAACACTCACTTGAAGTTATAGGGAAAGAGTATATCCTTCTTGTGGCGTTGGTTCACTAAGAAGTTCATGAGGTTACTCTCTGACTCAGACTTCCAATTAGTCTTTGGAGTAATTGGGTCTTTAAATATTATATGGGGATCAACAAAACCAATTTCATTGTAGCCTTCCTTTCTAAGCTCTGTCATTGTAAATCTACATATATATAGTACTTGTTAGGATAATTTATATGCATATACACACATATGATGAGTTTAATAATAGATCGAAAGAATTATTACTTACAGGCAATAACAGCTAATGATAACTTTGTCCAGAGAGGTCAGGTGGCATAGTTGATGAAATTCTGCAAAGTCAACATACATAACATCATCGCCACGGAACCAATGTTCGTCTCTAATTCTGACACCAACGCAGAAGTCTCCACCGGTAGACGCCTGTATGTACCACTTGTTTAGCAGGTACATTTGCGTCCCCAGATTAGATAAGGCTTGAGGGTTGTATAGACTCTGGCCTAGTACAAATTTTTTTCTTCCAAATATCAACCTCCGCCGCACTCTCAATGTTTCCATCACCAAACATCTGGTAAAGGTTGAGACCAGTCTCATCAATAAATTCACCAAGGTGATCCAAATCGACATCCGGAGGTATGTTTGCCTGATGCATTAATCCTAAATTCGAACCATATTCATTACCAACAACTAGCGGGGGGACTGATTGGTGCGCTTGTTGTCCGAGTTGGGAAACTCCTTTCCCTGCCCACTTCTTTTTCTGTGCCGCCTCAATTGACTTGGTGAGAGTGCGGTCATAGTCCGATAACGTTGATTTGGACGGCTTACGAGATTCCCGCTGTTGTTGCTGGTAAGAAGCCACCCTTTTTCTTAGAATATCTGGAGCTACTAATAAGTACGGTTTCTCTGGGTTTCTCCTTGCTTCTTGATTCTTTTTAAGTTTGTCATAGAATCTAGACATATCTTTTTTATATGCATCAGTTCCTTCTTCCTTCTCTTCATATATTATTTTGGGAATAGCCTTTGGTTTCACGGTGGCTTTCTTTGCGGTGAAAGGGACCGGTTCTTTGTTTGAGGGATTGGCCTCTTGCTAGGCTTCTTGGTAGGCGGGGCGGGGGGCGTTGGAGACCTCCTTGGAGGTGTTGGCGTGCCGTGTTGAGACCTCCTTGGAGGTGGCGGCTGCGGCGTTGGAGACCTCCTTGAGATGGTGTGGATGCAGCCTCGCCTTCCAACACAATGTCATCGTCTGAGAGCACTATGATGATCTGGCGATTGAACAATTGGATTTAGGTTGGGGAGGATCTGCTACAAAAAAGGAATGACATATTATTATGAGCAGTTGTTAATTATTTAAGCCAATACAAATTAATGATGTAGTGTTTTCATCCGCACGTACCTCTGGTGAGGTAGTTCAGGAGGAGGTGGAGCCGACATCCCTGGAATGATAATGTAGCGCTTGCGCCATAGAATGAATGTCTTCTCCGCTTCTCCTAGAGTCTTCTCGCCATCACCTCTAGGAATGTCAAGAGGCAAATCACTAAAACCTTTTTCAGCTTTATCTACCGAGATGGTAGCATATCCTTCTTGGATTATATTCCCATGAATCCTTGGTGTCTTAGTTCGGTCGATAGGATTAACAAGACCGATAGCCACCTTGATTGTGGAATTCCCCTTCGGAATGTGTAGCTCACATGTTGTACAAGGTTTAGTGACGTCATCCATAGGGAAGCGCAGTCCTGTGTCCCCTTGATTTGGTATCTCCGTGGAAGCGCAACTGCTTTTCAACTGAACAGATTGGCTAATGTTGATTCCTGGCTCTGATGCCTGCTTGCTTGCACTCACTGCTATTTGCACTTGCCTTCTGATTTCCTCCTGCATTCTCGCTTCAAGGTTTTTTTCCCACTCCTGTGCTTCACGCACCGCTTCCTCCAACCTCTGGAGCCGTTGTGCCTCTTCTTCCTTCTTTCTCTCGCGGGCTTCAGAGGAAGGTCTGCATCTGAGGGAATCCATGCTCCCATGAGACACTTCCTTTGCCTCTAGTTCGCCACCATGTTCAATAGTCCCGATGGCATATGTCACTCATCCTTCTCATTGTTGGGCTGAACGCACCACTAGCAGTAGCTCTCTGAGCATAAAACAATCTTTCTGCTGCTTCTTGCAGTCTTGCGCCATAAACGCACTTCCCTGTCTCCTGGTCCAGTGTTCCCCCATGAGCGAAAAACCAATTCTTTGCACGCTCTCCCCACTCGAGTGATTCGGGTGTGATACCCTTGGCAAGAAGGTCTGCTTCCATTTTGTTCCACTTCTTAATGGCAGTCGGGTAGCCACCTGATCCCAAGTTATGGTGGTATGTCTTCTGTTGGGCATTACGTTGGTTCTTTATCACCCGACTCGCACCCTCTTCCGATGTCTTGTACTGTACAAACTCATCCCAATAGGGCCTCTGCTTTGAGATCGGGCCTAGGACAGTAAA